TTTAGGGTTTAGGGTTTAGGACTACGGCCAGGAAGTGCTCGTTTCTTCAGTTTTCAGGCTTGAGCTGATGCTTTCCTAGAAATCGCAAGCATGTCCGGCTCTTCAGCAGGCATGAAGCAGAAAACCCGTGTACTCCCCTGAATCTTTGGATCCCAGGCTGAAAAAGCTTCTCTTGCAACATCTGTTTAACACATGGACAGGTAATAATACACAACAGCCATTGAGTACATATAACAATATGCTATAGTAGTACAGTACTATGACAATTTGCGATAGTAACTTACAACCACAATGCGACTATGCAACGCTGGATACGAACCCGAGGCTCACACCATTCCTCGTTGAAGACTCGATCAGGAAAGGGGCCGCCTGGCTCTGTGAGACTCGCTTGAGGCTCTGGGGAATGCGATGTTTCCGGAAAGTCATTATCGTCTCTATAGAACCAATTTCCTCATCTTCCCCAATTATGATGAATACAAATATGCTAATTTCATAGGTTCATAGTATTGGAACTTCTACAGGCTCCTGGAATAATACAGCAAGGTGTCACACCTATCCGAAGCCTCAGAACCTCTCAGCCCCCCAACTCCTTGTAGAATCCTGGTGAACGCTCTGCTAAGCATGGGACGCGTGTTCGAGGTCTTTCTAGACTCCCCTCAGAACACTATAAACCCTAAACCCTAAACCCCACAATATACAGAACCCTCATAGACACCTCCCAAACCCAGAACCCCAAACCCCACGCCCCCGTCAGCCTCCCGGCGCCAGGCCGCCAGTGTCCTGCGCCTCAGGGCCTGCAGTTACAAAAGTGTTCTGAGTTTCAAGGTTTGGAGCATGATGGACTTGGGGTTTGGGTTTTAGGGCTTCGGGGTTTTAGCTGGTTTTAGGTTTTAGGGTACAGGAAACTTAGTTCGTGGTTTTGGGGCTTGGATGTGCTTGGAGTTCGGAGTTTAAGTTTGGGGTTTCAGCCGTTCCACGAGATCGTGGGCGATGATGCGGAGTGTATGCATCGGGGTCACACGGCTTCGGCAAAGCGAGAGCCTAGGCGTGTAAGCGCTCCGCCTGGATGTTTGGTTGGGGGGACATCAAGTCTAGGCCGCACACGCAGTCTCCCTGCAGTCCCTCAACCCTGGAGCCCTGGGCTGGTTCCGCAGCTTTGACTACCCACATGCAGCTATCAAGTAGTATCTAGTAATGTACCTGAAACCACGGCAACACTCGTTGCTCAACCGAAGATTCTTCGTTCTACATCCATACTTTTGCTATACCTGCATGTGCCCACCTACCTGCACAGCACAACATAAAAACCATACCAATAATATGCATACATATATGAAGCCACACTGCGTTAACTTATAAAACCAAGTCCACGGCTGGCTTCTACCCGCAAGAGATTTAGATTTAGCTGCATGAGTCAGAAGCAGAGGGAGAACTGAAACAACAAACGATGTTACAGAAACCCAACAAGACACATACCGACGCATGTAGATGCAACAAGACATATGTGCATGTACATTTCAAGAACTAACATGCGCAAACAGCAAAGTAAATGATAGTATGCCGGCCCATAACACGATTAGAAGCACGCACCAAACCAAGTAGATCAAAAGCAACATCTCAATACATAAATGTGTCTGTACATATATATATATATATGTATAATGCACGTACAGAGATGAGACTTACAGACGCATATGGACAAACACATGCGCAATACATGTATGGGTACATACACACGCATATGAACAGAAACAACGCATACCCAAACAGTATGTATACACATAACCGTATATTTTTGGACATGTGTATGTATGTACGTACATACGCACACAAATACGAATCTACATATGTGTGTATGTATGCATGTATGTATGCATATGTATACATATGTATGTATGTATGTATGTATGTGCGTGTATGGACGTCCTACAGACTCGCATACAAACAAACTGGCCGTGTCTTGCCAGGTGGCTACCACCGCCGTCTTTCCACCACTCATCGGCTAGCTCAAAGATAAGTCCGCCAGAGCCTGGAAGCCAAGTCTCGACCCCGTCCTAAGCCGGGAACCTACTAAAACGCACTGAGAATACAATTTGGGCGCTGCGCTGAGATATGCTTTTTGTGTAGTGGCTCATAGGAATCAGGTGAGAGTTCAGGGTTCCGGGCTCAGGACTAGATTTTTTAGGGGCCCTGTAGAAATTGAGATTAAGGTTTGAAGCTTAATGCTTAGTTACTTAGTTTTCAAGACTTGGAACTTCGGTCCTAAGCGCCAAACCGCAAGATCTTGGGGGTCTGCAGGTTCATGAGAAGTCACCACCCGACTCCTGAGGCTCGCGCAAATGCCACCAGGGAAGATGGCGCTGTTTTCCATGATCTGCTCCCTGCCACATTGGTGTCGACTTCCACAGCCTTTAACACCATTTAGACTGTAGTTAGGGTTCTCTGTCAAGCTAATAAGGACATGAAATACTTCATAAGTCATCTCAAATCGGTAGTGAGGATTAAGACTTTCACACCACGGAAGGTGCGGCCCCCATTCGACACAATTAATCATGTCGCGTGAGCTGCACAGGGCGCCTCAAGCTTTGCTGACAAACGTGTCGGGAGGGCGTCAAGACTTTAGTTGCATAGGCTTGTGCGTCCTGCGTTGAACTCGCATTCCCTGCCAAACCGAACATATGTCGTGGCGACGGCTAAACTCAGACGAGTATGCTTTTACCAGGAAGCTCACTTTGACACGTCAGAGTCCTCGTTGACAGCAGTGATGGTGGTGTCGTACCTCCCCCAGAAAGAGCTGCATTGCTCCGAAACCCGTCATGAAACCCCGAAACCCAGGGGCACGCATCCGCGCCGTATTCGCCAAGAAAAAACGGCTTCGTCGATCGCTCTGCAAAGCCTGGGTCTCTCATTGGCACGGATGCATGTGGCAGCTTGAGGAAATGGAAGGCCGCAACATGGACCCAACTATCCCAGAATAGCACGATCCTTAAGACAGGAACCCCGCCAAATAGGGACCCGAATCTTAAGAGCCCGGTATCTGAGCCGGGTCTTTTTCTGCTCTTCCTGGGAATCCTCAAGTCGAAACATAGTACCACTACAGTAGATCCTAGGCCCTATAAACCCCAAGGCCCTAAACCCTAAAGCCGAGATCCTAAACCCCAGGCCCTGTAAACCCTACATCGTAAAGCCTGCGTGCTAAACCGCGAACCCGAAAATCCCAAATCCTAATCCCAAGCCCTAAACCCCTAGACCCTAAGTCCCAACACCCTAAACCCTGAAAATCTCTGTTCCTACCGAGGCGAAAGCGCTTGAAGAGGTCGCCGAAGGTTAGCTCGTCGTAGTAGTTGACGCCCCAAACCTTAGGAGTTCGTCGGAGGGTGATGTGTTTAGGGTTCGGGGATTAGGGTTTCGGGTCTAGGAGTCTAGGAGTCTAGGGTTTACGGGCGTTCGGGGATTAGGGGTTATGGGGTTGAGAGATTAGGGATCTTAGGCTGGGATTTAGGGGTTGAGGGATCTTGGTTTTGGGCTTGAGGGCTTAGTCTGCTTCTCCGCTGCTCCTCGCCGTGAGGCTGATCAAGCTTTGCACAAATGAACCTAGCGAAGGCACACCAAAACCCTCAACCCCAAAACCCCAAAACCCTGTATGGCAAACCCTGAACCCTAAAGTCCTAAAGCCTTCAGAAGCTTCGAAGTCAGCTTTCCGGAAAATTGCGCCCAGATCCTTGGACACTTGAGGCAAACGCATCAATGGCATCCATCTTATGGATCACATCCACGGGCGGAGCTTCCCCATACACCGAGGCCTCAGGAAACAGGGGCAGCTGTAATGCAAAGGTCACCTGCAAGCACCTTCGGACTGCACTTACACAAGAGATTTGCTGTGTCTTCCAGCTGGGACACCTCCAAAAACCCTGACAAGAAAATTTGATGCGAAAGGTGGCCGCTCACGGCCAATGGGCAGCGCATGTGCTGTTATGAAAGTAGAATCTTGATTCTGTGCCCTTCTTCAGCACGTCTCCGTGAACATCCGCTGAGGCCGTCGCAACAGGATGTTGCTGATCGTATCTTTTCACAATCTTGGCCTCAGCACCATGGATGGCTTTAGCTACCTGAGAGCACTGATCAGAACCGGCAGGTGCCCATCTCCAGTAGAAGACCCGAGCTCCTGACCACCTCGTTTAAACGGTTACCACACTGATCCAAGTTCATGTGCTGGTAGCAGCCATTGTAGTTCCACCTTATGACAGCTGCTGCGAGGCATGCAATTCGAGATGCACCGGTGGGATAGACCTTTCTGGAGTACGAGTTTGAACAGGTATATCGACATACACATACACATAAATACACATACACACATACACGCACACGTACGTACGTACGTACGTACGTACATACGTACGTACATACATAGAATAGTTACGAGCCTGACTACTTATTTCAACGCATCTGTAGTCTATGGGGTCTTCTCCACGTACCTATACACTTGCATATTCACATATACCGTCTGGTGTGGGTGGGGTGGTGTGCGGCGGGGTGGGGTTCTGGGAACGACGATCCCGGGAACGGGCATCGCAGGGAACACTTTGGCAAGCGCACAGTCTAGAGGCCCTCCAGAATCGCGTCGGAAGCACTATCAAATCTCCTACAGAGTACCCTAAACCCTAAACTCCTAAACCCTAAACTCTAAACTCTAAACCCTAAACCGACTCCTTTGTAGAAACCCCTAGCAGGGACTCTCAGAGAAGCCTGAGAAAGCCTCCAGTCTTTGCCGACTCAAAGGTTGCCGGAGATCTGAGCCTCCCGCTCGTTCCCAGCCACCCACATCAAAAGGGCAGGGTGATGCTTCACCTTTAGGAATCTCCGGGATCCTAGGGTTTTTAAGACACCTTTACCAAGTTTATGAATATGGGGAATTCAGGGCTTCGCCTTCAGGAGCGTTTAGGGAATTTGGGGGTTGGGAGTGTTGCAGGATCTCCACCCTTCAAGCATCTTACTTAGGGTTTGAGCCGCTTGCGTTTTACAGGGATTGAAGGCTTAATTTTGTTCGGATCAAGCCATGAAGAGCTTGGTGTCCTTAGATACTCCCAAAAATCTATACAGGGTTGGGTCTTCAGATGGGTTCAGAGGGCACATTTTCAAAGGTGCTGTTGGTGGGAGAAGCTGGCAAGACTGATTTCACATCTCGGAAAGCACTCAAGGCCGAAGTCATCTGAAGATACTCGTCCCCGAAAGCCTGAAATTCAACTCCTGAGAGCCGGAAAAGCCCCATCTCGAGCTTTGAGGAAGCCAAATGCCACCGAAGGGGCCGCATCCACCTTCACCGCTGATGGACTTCGCTTGTTTGGCAGTGAGGTTTCTAGGCATTCGAAGCATAAACTCCGCAACGCAAGCCCGAAACCCGAAACCACCCCAAACCCTGTGCTTGAGCTTCAAAAGGTGGCATGTACGGCTTCAGCTACACAATATCTGTTTCTGGGCTTGAAGTGGGGGATGCCCCTCGAAACTCGCAAGTGACGTTGAATTCAGGAAACTGGAAAAGTGCCCATTGCCTTTCGGCACATCCCCGAATCATTCACCCCACCTGCAGCCATGAAACAAACTTATATTGAAGTTCAATTACAAATATCGCAATCGTTATAAACTTTCAGTGTTCTTACAGTTTGCAAAGTTTACAGTTTACCATATGAAGATACACTGATTTATGGGTGGACGTTGGCGTTACAAGTTTACAATACAAAGATAAAGAAATCTATGGGTGAACGTTGGCGTTATAAACTTATAATGTCCTCAAAGTTTACAAAGTTTGCAAGACAAAGGCATACAAATTTATGGGTGGAAGTAAACTTATAGTGTGGACGTTGACGTTACAAACTTACAGCGTCCTTAAAGCTTACAAAGTTTACAAGACAAAGATACACACATTTTGAGGTGAACCTTCGCGCTACAAACTTAACGTTTACAAACTTTACAGTACACAGATGCACAAATTTATGGGCGGACGTTGGCGTTACAAACTTATACTGGCCTTGAAGCTTACGAAGTTTACAATACAACGTTACACAAATCATGGGCGGACGTTGGCGATACAAACCTGTAGTGTCCTTCAAGTTTACAAAGTTTACGAAACAACGATACACACATTCATGGGTGGACGTTGGCGTTACAAGCTTATACTGTTCTGAAAGTTTACGAAGTTCACACTACAAAGCTACAAAAAACTTATGGGTGGACGTTGGCGGTACAAACTTACAGTGTCCTTAAAGTTGACAAAGTTTACAAGACAAAGATACACAAATTTATGGGGTTGGATGTTGGCGCTACAAACTTGTAGTGCCCTTAAAGTTTACAAATTTGTGAATACAAGGGTACACAAATGTATGGCTGGGTGTTGGCGATACCAACTTACAGTGTCCATAGATTACAATACAAAGACACACAAATCTATTGGTGGACATTGGCGTTACAAATTTATAGTGTGCTTTCTGTTTACAAGGCTTACAATACAACGATACGCAAATTTATGGGTGGACGCTGGCGCTACAAACTTATGATGTCATAGTGGCCTTAAAATTTACAAAACTTACGATACGAAGATACACAAACTTATGTGTGGACGGTTTGTAGTGTCTAAACTTTATAAAGTTTACAATACAAAGATATGCAAGTTTCCAGGTGGACGTCGGCGTTACAAACTTAAAGTGTCCTTAACGTTTTCAATGTTTATACAATAGTTACATTACAAAGATACACAAATTTGCGGGTGGGCGCTGGCGTTTCAAACTTAAACTGCCCTTAAAGTTTACAAAGCTTGCAATACGAAGATACCAAAAACTGAAGGGTTGGACGTTGGCGTTAGAAACTTATGGTGTCCTTAAAGGTTACACTGTTTACAATACGAAAGATACAGAAATTTATGGGTGGACATTGGTGTTAAAAGCTTATAGTGTCCTTAAAGTTAGCAAAGTGTACTATACAAGAATGCAAACATTTATGGGTGGACGTTGGCGTTACATTCTAGTGTCCTTGAAGTTTACAAAGTTCGTATAAATACAAAGATACACAAATTTATGGGTGGACGTTGGCGTTAGAAACTTATAGTGCCCTTAAAGCTTACAAAGTTTACACTACAAAGATACACAAACTTATGGGTGGTAGCTGGCGTTACAAACTTGTAGTGTCCTTGAAATGTACAAAGGGTATAAACACAAAGATACACACAAGTTGGCGTTAGAAACTTGAAATGTCCGTAAAGTTTATACAGTTTTTGATGCAAAGATACATAAATTTATGGGTGCACGTCGGCGTTACAAACTCGCGGTGTCTAAGGCTCACAAAGCTTGCACTACAAAGATACACACATGTATGGGTGGACGTTGACGTTGCAAACTTGTAGTGTCCTTGAAGTTTACAAAACTTTTAAAAAGATTGTAAACATACAAACATACACAAATTTATGGGTGAACGTTGGTGTTACAAACTTATAGTGTTAGAGTTTACCAAAGTTTACAAGAGAGACTTGCACACATTTATGGGTGGACGTTGGCGTTACAAACTTGTAGTGTCCATAAAGTTTGAAAGGTTCACAATACAAAGACACACAATTTATGGGTGGACATTGGCGTTGAAAAGTTCATGACCCAAAATAAGTGATGTTTTTTGGCTGGACGTTGGCGTTACAACAATAAACTCTCCCTTATAGTTTACAATGCTGATTTACAAAAAACACAAATTTGTGGTTGGACGTTGGCATGACAAACTTATAGTGTCCTTACAGTTTACGAAGTTTACAACACAAAGATGCACAAATTTATGGGGTTGGATGTGGGTGGACGTTGGCGTTACAAACTGTAGTGTCCTTGAAGTTTAAAAAGTATATAATAAAAAGATACACAAATTGATGGGTGGATGTTGGCGAGACAAAGTTATACTGTTCTTAAAGTTTACAAAGTTTGCCATACACAGATACACAAATTTATGGATGGACGCGTTACAACGTTTACAATACAAAGTTACACAATTTATGGGTGGACGGCCGTTGGCGTTAAAAGCTTATAGCGCCGTTGAAGTTTACAAAGTTTACAATCCGACGCTACACACATCTATGGGTGGACATTGGCGTCACAAACTTATAGTGTCCTGAAGTTTGCAAAGTTTTACAAAGATACACAAATTTATGGATGGACGTTGGCGTTACAAACAGATAGCGTCCTCAAAGTTTACACAGTTTGTATTACAAAGATACATGAATTCATGGGTGAACATTGGCGTTACAAACTTCAAGGGTCCTCAAAGTTTGCAAGCTTTATAAAACAAATATACACACGTCTGTGGGTGGACGTTGGCGTGACAAAGTTGTACTGTCCTTAAGGTTTACAAAGTTTACAATACAAAGATACACAAACTTATGGGCGGACGTTGGCATTATAGCGTCCGTAAAGTTTACAAGGTTATAGCGTCCATAAACTTTATTACCAGGATACACAAACTTATGGGTGGACGCTGGCGGCACAAAGTTATAGTGCCCTTAAAGTTTGCAAAGTTTACACTACAAAGATACACAAATCCATGGGTGGACATTGGCGCTGCAAACTTATAGTGTGCTCAAAGTTTACCTCAAAGTTTACAAAGTTTACACAAATTTATGGGCGGACGGTGGCGTTACCAACTTAAAGTGTCCTGAAAGTTCACAAAGGTTACGATACAAAGATGCACAAACTCGTTTGTGGACGGTGGCGTTACCAACTTAAAGTGCCCTGAAAGCTTACAAAGTTGACAATACAAGGATACACAAATTTATGGGTGGACGTTGGTGTTACAAACTTGCAGTGCCAGTAAAGCTTACAAAATTTACAATACAAGGATCCACAAATTTATGGATGGACGTTGGCGTTACAAGCTTATAGTATCCTCAAGTTTATAAAGTTTACGATGCAAAGATACACGAATTTTTGTGTGGACGTTGGCGTTACAAACTTATCGTGTCCTTAAGGTAAAAAATACAATGCAAAGTACACACATTTATGGGTGGACTTTGGTGTTACAAACTTATAGTGTCCTGAACATTTACAAAGTTTACAACACAAATAAACACAACTTTATGGGTGGACGTTTGCGTTACGTTGGCATTACAAACTTGTAGTGTCCTTAAGGTTATCTAATACAAAGATACACACATTTTTAGGTGGATATTGGGCGTTACAAACTTATAGTGTCCTTACAGTCTACAAAGCTTACAATACAAAGATACACACACACACACACACACTTGTGGGTGGACATTGGCGTTACAAACTTGAAGTGTCTTGAAAGTTCACAAAGTTTACAATACCAAGATACACAAACTCATGCGTGGACGTCGGTGCTCCCATTTTTATAGTGTCTGTAAAGTTTACAAAGTTTACAAAACAAAGACACACACATTCATGGGTGGACGTTGGCGTTACAAGCTTATACTGTTCTGAAAGTCTACAAGTTTACAATACAAAGATACACAAATTTATGGGCGGACGTCGGCGTTACAAAATTATAGTATCCTGAAGTGTATAATTTTTACGATGCAACGATGCACAAATTTATGTGTGGACGTTGGCGTTACAAACTTATCGTGTTCTTAAAGTAGAAAACACAATGTAAAGATACGCACACATTTATGGGTGGACGTTGGCGTTACAAACTTCCAGTGCCCTGAAGTTTTGAAGTTTACAAAGTTTACAATACATGGATGCACACATCCATGGCCGGACGTTGGCGTTACAACCTGTAGTGTCCATAGCTTACAAAGTTTACAACACACAAATGCGCAAATTTATGGGTGGACGTTGGCGTTACAAACTTATGGTGTTCTAGTGTCCTTAAGGTTTACAATTTTACATTACAAGGGTAGACAAATTTATGGGTGGACGCTGGCGTTACAAACTTGTAGTGTCCTTAAAGTTTATAAAGTTTGCAACACAAAGATATACAAACTTCTGGCTGGACGCTCTCGTTTCAAACATGTAGCGTCCTTCAAATTTACAAAGTATATAATACAAAGATACACAAACAGATGGGTGGACATTGACGTTAAAAACTTATAGTGTCCTTAAACGTTGCAAAGCTTCCAATACAAGGATGTCACAAATCTATGAATGGACATTGGTGTTACAAACTTACAGTGTCCTTGAAGTTTACAAATTTTACAATACCAAGACATACAAATTTGTTGGTGGACGTTGGCACCATAAACATATAGTGTCCTTAAAGTTTACAAAGTTTACAATACGAAGACATGCAAATTTATGTGTGGACGTTGGTGTTACAAACTTCAAGTGTCCTTAACGTTTACATAGTTTGTAATACGAGTAACAAGATACACAAATTGCTGGGTGGATGCTGGCGCTACAATGAAGCCAACACAGATCCTCTGTATGCATGGTTATGTTTGGCTGACCATAGGGCCGCAATCCATAACCAGCTGTCCCTGGAAGCCTCGCCTGGACCCGAGACTCTCAACTCCAACCCGAGGCTCCCCAGCCTCTTTCCGAACTGCTTCGAGAGGCTTCCCGGCATGGGAGTAGATGGTGTTCAGGATCTGGCCAGAGAAACAGCGACTGAGAGGGCAACGAACATAGAGTCTTCATGCCCTCGGCAACTGAGTGTTATTGGCTCGGAAATTATGCATCTCTGAAGCAAAGGAACTAGACACTCCTCCACAACGGGAGATGGTGACTTTTGGGGGCTTGTTCGAGTATAACAACACTCAGCACTGCCAGTGGTTGCATTGCAAGGTAAACCAAATCTCAGTGCAGCCAGCTTCTGCCTGGATGCCGTTTCGCCAAAGCTCGTCTAATACGGCCTTGGCTACAGAAGCACAGATCACGCGAGTGAGGCGGATCCGGCAACAGCGGAATGGCCTAGACAACAGCCTAGCCCGTCTGGCCTCCAAAGAGGGACAGTATAATGGCAACAAATTGCGTCGTCGCGCATGCATGTTACAGAATAGGTTAGCCATACCGCTATCGTGTAGTTTCGTGTATAAGTGGTTTTAGAGAGTACTTCATAGCCGATGTCTGTAGAGAGCATTCGAAAGGCTGTGGAGCGGTTCACAATGTCCCTCAGGCAGGTCGGAGGGCAGGCCTGTCGTGCATTGTCCGAGCATCGGTGATATCACATGGAACTCGTAGAACCTCAAATAGTCTTACACAGCCTTCAGCTGCTTGTGGCTTTCGATTCTCCGCCTACGGCCTGGACCACCAGTCGCTGATTTCTGGCCCATGGTTGTCGGGATTTTGTACACATCTGTGATCATGTCATATGTGATGCCTGCTACAAGCCCCGATGCCCAAAGATTTTCCTCAAACAATTTTACTCAATGCAGACTCCTCGGGTGAAGCACTGAATTCTGCCGTTTCCGCTGAGACCGCCGCCTGGTCGGTCACGGTTTCATACGTCCTTGCTTTGCAAGCATTTTGGGTTACTGTTAAGGAACTGAAACTCACTTACTGTATTCAGGAACTTTAAATAATTTTTACTATATATTATCCGCATTCTGGTAACTTAGATTAAGTTCTATGACGGCAACCATTAGGAACAGCTGAGAAATCCAAAAGCCATGAGTTTAGGAGATTACCTTACATAATCCCTTACAACAAGGACCCCCAAAGGGACCCTAATTTAGAGAAACTTATATAAGCGATACTTTAATCTCAACCACAGCGTTATGGAGCAAGCATCTCGGTTCAGAGGCCCAGCTCGCCAGTGCAAGTCTAACTCAAACACAAGTAGCCATCTCAGGTCAAACTGCCGGGAACCGTCAAGAGCACATCAAGACCAGGATCCTTGTTGTTGAGACAGAGAATTCTGTGACGACACCACGCTGAACCCATCTTTCCCGAAGCTGTCCTGACCACGTTGACGCCGGCCTGCGCCAAAATCACGCCCCGTTTTCTTAGCCGAAGCCGAATCTCCACATCGGTGCAGAGGTCGGGGGGGGGGGGAAGTGAGGGTTGGGGTTGAGGGTTTCGGGATAACTCTAGAAGCCCTAAACCTTGTGAGGCTTGGATTCCGGATCTTGCGATTCCCCGAGCTCAACTCTTTGGGCAACTGATAGCGTACTTGTCATGGGCTGAGCGTCCCAGCAGGTGCGATGCGCCTCTGCCATAATGCGAGCATCTCGCACTACATAGTCAGCGAACGCGAGGCCTTAGGACGCAAGGCGATAACTTTGGACCGAGCAAACACATGAGCCTAGGAGTACTGTGCAGAAGAGCTGGCTGCATACATGATCAATGACAATGCTCCACAGCAGATTTTCAAGGACTGCAGTCAGACTCGAGGCTTTGTGCCACTTCGGATCTGCTCAAACCATCGGGCTGTCATGAAAAAACGGCTGCATTTTCGTGACTGTTGCTAGAATTCCTGCTGTTGCTTGGTCTTCTATATACACCCTAGATCTCCTAGGATTCAGACCGCGTGCTCAACGCGAAACCACAAACATGCAGGTGCTCTATGGCATGAGTGGCTTATAGTGTGGGGGGCTTAGTGCGTAGCGCGCTGGGACTTAGGGAATTCAAGTCTGGGGTTCTAGGGTTGCCAAGGTCTCAGAGCATCCACGCGAGGTCACTGCGGGTGGGACGATCTGTATTTCTGCTAACCTACTCTTGTTTGGGGAATGTTCAATCGTTCAATCATTGCGATCTGATCAGAACTGCTACGACTGCCTGTTCGATGCTTCTGTGCCGTAAGAATGTCATTCTCGACCCCCAAACCCTAAACCGCACATCCCCCGCTGTGTCCCGGGCCGAAGGGGTGGGAGGCCCCAACTGCGACCGGGTTCCAGTTCACACCCTTCATGTGCAAGGGAACGCCATTGACGTAGATCCTGCAGCTAGTATATTCTTATGGCAATATAATACCAATATTTTAGTAGTATAAAACTGTATAGTATAATCGTACTATTACCGTTGGCAGTAATATTATAGTAATACAATCGTACATTCGAATACTTTATAGCATATAGTCACAGACAACTTCCAATTTGAAGAGAAGGGTTTGAGCAATTTAAGGGGGTTTGCAGGGCCGAGGGAATCAAATGGAAGCTTGACTGTTTTTGGCGTTTGTGCGTGTCTCGCCGACCCTCGAACATTCCCTCTTACAACGCGAAATCTTTCCAGGAGACAACTCTTGGCATTGTCAGAGAGTCTATGGAGGGACTATGCAACCGAAGGGAAATGGGAGTCGTTGAACCTTTTTAGATATCTTAAACCTCTGACTGACAACGGAATTTGCCAACACACTGGCAGTATGTTTCATGTCCGCCTGATCGCGGCAAACGCCCACCATTTTCCCAAATACTGAAACGCCGGCATACCCTGAACCCTAAATCGCTACGGTTTAAGGATCGAGTTCAGCTTTGGCTTTTACCTGGAGCTCCGAGCAACTGTTGAAAACCATGTCCATTTCTGCACTCCTTAGTAAGCCTTAGTATAACCAGGCCTTTCGAAAGAAACCCTGGTCTCAGAACCGCAGATAAATATGACCTCCACGAGAGCGTGCATGAAACAAAATCACAAACCCTAAGCTAATGAATCTGCGTTCAACCTGGGATCTTTGATGCGGCTTTCAAGCAGGATCCCGAGATTTTGACACACTTGGGTTGCTTTGCGTTTTATTGAAGGTCGGAATTACAGTAAACCCTGACCCCGAAATACGAAAGCCATAAACCCTGAAGACCCTAAACCCTCTCAGCCCTAAACCTTGTTTGGATCCTACCCTCA